TTCGAGTGAGACAGCAAGACCATATAGTTGATAGTTGAGCGGTGAGTGTGTGGTGAGCATGAGCATGCACGGTGAGGAGAGACCGGTACCGGTAGGTATGTCCCGCGGGGTGAGCGTGCTGAAGATTGGTTTATGGCGGGGTCGACGCTGCAACGCGGGGCTAAAATTCAGGATCCCCGCACCCCGGCGATGGCGGAATAGGACGGCACTGGTGGGCTCTCCTCCACACGTCCGGTGCCCCGGTGTTGGTAGTCCCCGAGCTACCTATAGAGGGATGGACTGCGGTTCTAGAAGCTGTATTTCTACGGAATAACGGCCATTGCCCGGTACAGGCTGCCCGACTGAGATAAGCCCGGCTAAGCGGTGCTTTTGAAACATAAAACGCTCTAATCTACTCTAACAACACCCCTCATCTATTGCATAATCATTCCGCCGTTGGCGCTCACCACCTGCCCCGTACACCACCCGGCGTCCTCACCGCACAGCATGCCCACGATCCCCGCCACTTCCTTGGTGTACGCGGGCCGGCCGCCGCTCTTCTTTGCATCCTCGACCACCTCAGCACTATCAATGCCCTCCCGCGCCCTCATCAGCGGCGCGTGCAGCACCCACCCGGCGATGTTCTCTAGGAACTCGGGCGGGTTGGCCGCGTACATGGGCCCCTCGACAGGGCCCGGGTTGACCGAGTTGACGGTGGCGTTGGGGGCCAGCTCGCGCGCCCACGTGCGCGTCATGGCCTCCAGCGCGGCCTTGGTGCCGCCGTAGACGGACTGCGTGACGAAGCCGATGGACGACGACACCGAGCTGAGGTTGACGATGCGGCCGGACCGGTCGTTGGGCAGGTACGGCTGCGCCGCCTGCACCACGAGCAGCGGGCCGAGCACGTTGACCCGGTAGCTCTCCTGGAAGTCCTCCACCGTCACCTGCGGGAGCATGCCGTTGCGCGCGATGCCCGCGTTGTTGATGAGGATGTCGATCTGGAAGCGGGAGTCGGCGCTGGTGAAGTTGTCCTTCGTCGCCGCGATGAGGGCCGTGGCGCCCGCGGGCGTGCCGACGTCGGCTTGGACGGGTACCGCGCGGATGTTGTAGGTTGTGGAGAGCTGCTTGGCCACGGAGGCGGCGAGCTCGGTCGAGGAGGCCGAGGTGTAGTTGATCACCAAGTTGCAGCCCTTCGAGGCGAGGTTCTCGGCGATGGCAGCACCGATGCCTGGGGTTGTTTAGTTGGGCTTGAACCTCACAGCTGGGGAGGGAAACCAACCTCGAGATGCACCGGTCACAATCCCGAGCTTGCCTTCTAGAGATCTCGCCATTGTGTTGATATCTTTGTTATTTCTGTTGGTGTCAATCTCGAGGTACTAGATTCGTCTGAGCAACGAGACTCGCAAGATGAGAAATGGAAAAAAACAAGGTCAAACACAGACACAGAAACAAGTAGAATCTATAGCTTGCCAAATTGAAACGAAGACCCTTATTATACACATATGCACAATATAACAGGTGGACACAGGTAACCCCGCCGGTGTAAGTAGCCTTCCACTGCTCCTCATCTTGCGAGTTGGAGAATGGAGAATGCCCCGCACCTCGCCCGCGATGTCGGTTAAGACGGCGGCGAGCTGCCCCGCCATTTGCGCGGCTAAGATACAGGGGTCCCCACCAACCCGCTGAATTTCACCAGTCCCCACCACAGCAGCTCGGCCCTAAGCTCAGCACTCAACCCGAACCTCAGCAACGCAGCGTAGCCCAGCCCACCACCAACAACCTCTCAGCCTTGTCTCCATAGACCGAACAACGGCCCCTCCCGCCCCGACGCCTCGTCATTCCTCTCCCCAAACTTTTCAAAACTCCGACACGATGGATATCCGCCTCCTCCGATCGTCGGACATTCCGCTGATCCAGCACGCCAACCTCGAGAACCTGCCCGAGAACTACTTCCTCAAGTACTACCTGTACCACGCGCTCTCGTGGCCGCAGCTGTCGTACGTCGCCGTCGACGTGTCGCGCCCGCCCAAGACCCCCTACGACTACCCCAAGATCGTCGGCTATGTGCTCGCCAAGATGGAGGAGGAGCCCGCCGACGGCGTCCAGCACGGCCACATCACCTTCGCTCTCCGTCATGCGCACCCACCGCCGCCTGGGCATCGCCGAGAAGCTGATGCGGCAGAGCCGTAAGGCGCCCCCCCCCCCCCCACCCAACCCTCTCACACCTTCCCTTTTTATTTGTTATGTATGTACGTACATGTACGTCCGGACGAATACTAACGCCCAATGCCCAAACCCCCACAGAACAAGCCATGGTGGAGACCTTCGGCGGGCACTACGTGTCGCTGCACGTGCGCGTGTCCAACAAGGCGGCCATCCACCTGTACCGCGACACGCTGGGCTTCAAGACGGAAAAGACGGAGAGCAAGTACTACGCCGACGGCGAGGACGCCTTCTGCATGAAGCTGGAGCTGGACTTTATCCGCGAGCAGCTGCGCGAGGAGCAGCAGCAGCTGGAGGAGGCGGGCGAGGGTGCGGGTGCGGACAAGAAGAAGAAGAAGAACAAGGCTGGTAAGGACTGGGGAGGAGGTCGCTGAGGATGTGGATGAGGGTGAGGCTGTGGGTGATGTTGGGAGGGACCCGGCTAAGGGGAGTACTGCGAAGGCTGAGCAGAAGATCAAGGTCAAGGTTGGGCGGGGTCTGGGCGTGGGCGAGCTGATAGAGAAGGATGAGAGTAAACACAGCTAAACGGTAGCTCGGCGTTGAGAAAATACAAAAGTCGGTTGGTTGTTGTTGGTATGTTTCGGGGCACGAGTTGGCTAGCCCGCCATCAAGATGGAACACAGCAAGGTACTTTGTACTTTGTTTCTTTGTTACAGGGGAAATAACCTGGAAAAGAGACCCGAAATGGGAAGGGATGCTTGACACTCGCTCACTACCTAAACATACCCGATTATGTATACGCAAGCAAAACTCCCCAAACTCCAAACCGCTAACCGATAAACAATCTACTCCATCCAAATACCCAGGCTCACCACCCCTAGCACCACCACCATACCGCCTAGCGCCTCGCAGACCTCTCCTCCTCCTGCGCCAACTCCCTCGCAAACTCCTCATCCGCCTGCGTGCGCAGCCGCTCCATCTCCCTCGCCAGATCCTCAATCTCCCTCTCCACCGCCAACGCCTTCCGCCTCCATCTTGCTCCCCGACCCCATCCCCGCCCCTTACCCCCATCCTTACCCCCCGTCACCCGACCGGTCCTCCAGCAATCCGCTCATGCAGCTTGAGCAGCTCGGCCTCCTTCTCCGCCACCTTGGCCTCCCATCTCCCACCGCGGCCTGGTATTTGGGCCTGCGACGCCGCGTAAGCCCGCCACACCCTCGTCGTGCACGCCCGTGTTTTTGGCCGGTCGTCCAGCGGGCCAAGGCCCCTATGGGCTGCTTCGAGGGGGTGGGTGGGGGTTGTCTAACCTACCCCATGGGTTGAACGAGTGGGCGTCGAAGGCTGGTGGTGGTGGTGCGTGAGGATGGTGGGGCATGTGAGGCATTGGTGGCATCGGCGGCATTGGGGGCATGGGTGGCATGTGAGGCATGTGATGGGCGTGGGCGTGAGGTGCGTGAGGAGCATGAGGGGCGTGGGGTGCGTGAGGCATAGGGGGGATCCCGAACGGGCCGCGGCGGATGTCCCGCGCCATCTCTTTGGCGGCGCGTTTCATCTCGCGCTTGGTGTGGCGCTGTTCCCGCTTCTACTGCCTACGTCGATGTTTCTGTTCACGCCGGAGCTGTTTGCGGTCCCGCTTTTGCTGTCTCTTGAGCTGCTTCCAGTCGCGGAGGAGATCCCTGACCTCGCGCCTCAGCGCCGTCTTGTCAGCGATCACTGGGGTCGGGCCGGACGACTTCTTGGCTGCTTTAATCTGCTCCTTGATGGCCTTGACCCGCTCCTTAGTGATCTTCTGCTCCGGGCGGTGCAGCGATTCCTGGAGATACTGCTTCGCGATGGGCAGCTGAGAATCCTTCAGGTCATCATAGTCCGGCAGCGACCCGACCGACGACTCGGAGTGGATAGACGACGACCTGGACGTCGCGCTCGAAGCTGAGCTACACCGAGACTGGTGACCCTCACCAGAGCCCCGATGCTCACCACGTCCACGCACTTGCTCTCCCTCACCACCACCACAAGACCCCGAGCCCTGTCCTCGGTCCCACCAACCTCCCCTCCCTCCCAAACCTCCCCTCCCTCCCCAACCTCCCCTCCCCCCCCAACC